GGCTTTTCCGATCGAGTTCATCGCATTCTGGTATCAATACTGTCTGCAACGGGGCTCCTTCTATCCATAGCACTTGGTGTCATAGTCACATTATCGTCTACCAGTAGGCTATCATCGTCGCCGCCCTATTCGACACTATTACTTCAGCAATGGCTTCAACTTGGAATATGGGTGTGTTTTCCCTTAACACCGATATATGCGAAGGGAATAGGAAGCCGTATTCCTGGTGATATGCCGATATTGATACCACTTTTCTATAGGTTTTCCTTTGCTTACAGTCGGTTGCCCTGGTCTCCCAACCATCTTCAACGAGAAGATTTACACTCGGGCTCTACAATGCTATTTCCAATACTATTTTAGTCGCTGTTATCTGCACCGTTTCCTACGTTTTTAGGTCCCGGAATGACTCGGTATGTGCCGTTACTTTAGTGTGGATTCAGATTGCGACCTCGGCCTCTTTGGGCCTCGTGTGTCTTCTCCTTCCGCGACGTCCGGACGTTTTTAGGAATGGCAAACCTGTCGATCAGCAGTATACCGTATCTTTCCTCAGCAGGATCACATTTATGTGGGCGAATCCCCTCTTGAATTTCGCGGCCCGGAACAAACAGCTGAGCGTCGACGATCTCCCCGAAATAGATCATTTAACTCGATCAAAGTACCTTCGAGAGACATTCGAGGAACGAATAAAGACATCTCGGCGGGTATGGAAGACTATTGTCATGGCTCATCTACCATCCCTAATCGTGCAGTCTATTCTGGTCACCGTATCGTCCTTTTTGAACTTTGCGCCACAGCTAGCCTTGCTAGGGATTTTAAGAGAGCTGGAGTCTCGATCTCAGGGGTCATGGGTGCCTTCAAGAGCCTGGACCTGGGTGTTTGGCCTCGGGGGATCGATGTTTCTGCAAGCTATTATTGAGGGATGGGTGTTCTGGATCGTCTTCTCGAAGTTGGCTACTCCGGTCCAAGAACAGCTGTCTGCTGTAATATTTTCCAAAGCAATGCGAAGGAAGGATGTTAGGGGTACAAGCAAAGCTGGAGAGGATGAAGGCGACACTGACCCGCCTAGCTCCGAAACTGAACCCGCTACGAAGAATGATGACGAGGAAGAAGTCGGGGATCCGAATCTTCAAAAAACCCACCAAAGTACCCTCAACCTGGTGGCCATTGATGCCAAACGTGTCGCAGACTTTGCAGCTTTCAACTACGTTGCGTACACCACTGTGCTTGAATTAGCCATCGCCTTCGTCTTTCTGGCTCGCCTCATCGGCTGGAAGAGTTTACTTGCTGGGGCGCTGGCGTCTGCACTTGTCACACCGGTGAACGCCTACCTCTCCGGAAAATACACAACTGCCCAGACAGCGCAGATGAAATACAGGGACCAGAAGATGGCAATCGTCACCGAGGCTTTGCAAGGAATCCGACAGATAAAATTCTCCGCCCTCGAAAAGCAATGGGAGGATAAGATAAGGGCCGTCCGAACACTGGAATTGGACAAACAGTGGAACGTGTTTTTCTACGACATCGGGTTGATTACCATTTGGATATTGAATCCTCTCATGCTCTCTGCCGTTTCCCTCGCGGTATATGCGTGGCTCAACGGGGGTCTATCTGCATCTGTCGCGTTTACTACTATGTCCATTTTCATGGCTATTGAGGTGACGGTGTCAATTCTACCAGAGTTAATTGCCGATTTCCTCGAAGCTGTTGTTAGCGCGACACGTATCGAGAAGTTTCTGAACGCTCCTGAAAAGTTAGCAACCACAGTACCGTCTGACAGTATATCTTTCAAAGATGCTACTGTTGCATGGCCGTCTGACGACGAGGAAAACGTGGAGGATAGGTTCGCGTTGCAGAATGTAAACCTGCAGTTCCCAAATAAAGCTTTGAGTGTGATATCTGGAAAAACCGGCTCGGGTAAGAGCTTACTTCTGGCCTCCCTGCTCGGTGAATGTGATATTCTCGAGGGGACTGTGGAAGTCCCAGAAGCACCATTGGTGGATGAGAGGTTTGATGACCTAGCCACTAAGGGCAACTGGATAATTGACTCTGCTATTGCGTTCGTGGCTCAAATCCCGTGGATCGAAAATGCATCAATCAGAGATAATATCCTATTCGGCCTGCCATACGATCAAGATAGATATCGCAAAGTTCTATTCGCGTGCTCCCTTCGAAAAGACCTTGAAATGCTTCCTGACGGGGAGCTCACGGACATTGGCGCGAATGGTATTAATCTTAGTGGTGGGCAGAAGTGGAGGATATCATTTGCGAGAGCCCTATATTCTCGCGCTGGGATATTGGTTATGGACGATCTTTTCAGCGCATTGGATGCCCATACGGGTCGGCATCTCTATGAACATGCGATTATGGGTGAACTTTGCCAGGGGCGGACACGGATTCTGGTCACCCACCATGTCTCCCTTGCGCTCCCTCGTACAGACTATCTAGTCGTTCTTGAAGATGGTGGAGTGAAGCTGGCTGGCTCTGTGGATGAGCTGAGTCCACATATCTCGGATGTTCTAGCCGAGACGGGGGGAGACAACGAGGAGGCCGCCGCTGAAGATACAGAGCTTACTGAAGACGGCGGGAACCTCAAGAAAATTCTGTCGAATAAGTCGCGTAGGAGATCTTCGGTTGTAAACGGAGACGCTGATGCGACTAAGAGGGAGGTACCCAAGAAATTTATAGAGGATGAACAGCGCGAGACCGGTGCAATCGACCTCGCTGTTTACAAGGAGTACATAAAGAAGAGTGGAGGACCCCTTGTCATGGGTCTTATTTTCCTCGTCTACGCCATCTTTACTGGGTTGGTGCTAGGAAGGGTAAGTTTGTGCCCTTTGATTTATGGATGATACTAACATTACTTCAGTCCTGGTGGTTAAAGATCTGGACGGGTGAAGGCTCTCAATCGCCCGTAGGCCAAAACTACGTGGTCGCGAATCAAGTTCATTTCAAGGCTTCGGCAGCTAAAAGAGAATCAAACGGCAGCGAGAATCTCGCGTACTACCTGGGAGTCTACGTCGGTATATCTATAATAGCTTGCATTGTTGGGAGCTTCAGGACATACCTCGTCCTCAGCGCTTCAATCCGTGCTTCTCGGCACTTATTCAATAATCTTACCTACGCTATCCTTAGAGCGCCACTCCGGTGGCTCGATACCGTCCCGGTTGGCAGGATCTTAAATCGGTTCACTGCAGATTTTCTTCTCGTCGACTCAAAGCTTGCTTATGACTTTGGATTTTTCCTATGGAACGTTTTCGAAATCCTGGGAATAATCATTGTCAGCATCCTCGTTTCTCCAGTGCTAATAGTACTGGCCGCCCTTCTCCTGGCAGCGTGTATGTGGTATTCTTTGCGATATCTCGCCGGCGCTCGCGAGATCAAAAGGCTTGAAAGCAATGCAAAATCCCCGATCTTTGAGCAATTCGGATCTGCCCTGACCGGGTTGGCGACAATTCGTGCGTTTGGAAAGGGAAGCGTATACATCGACCGAATGCACGCCAATATCGACCGCCATGCCCAGGCATCGTGGCATCTCTGGCTTTTTAACCGATGGATGTCTTTTCGAATGAATGTTATGGGGGCGATCTTCACAGCCGTAACGGGTATCGTGGTTGTGGCTGTGACGGGGATCGATGCATCCCTTGCTGGTTTTGCTCTCAGTTTCTCGGTTCAGTACAGTTCCGTGATCAGTTGGGCTCTCCGTCAATACGCGAATATCGAGATGGAGATGAATGCCACTGAAAGAGTGGTGGAGTATTCTAATATCAAAATTGAAAACCAAGAAGGAAACCCCGTTCCGGCAGCCTGGCCAACGGATGGTCGGATCGAAGTGAATGACCTTGTCGTTGGCTATGCTCCGGATCTACCCGCTGTCCTGAAAGGGCTCACCTTTAGTGTGGAGAGTAACCAACGCGTCGGTGTCGTTGGGCGAACTGGGGCCGGCAAATCATCCTTGACACTCGCCCTCTTCCGCTTCTTAGAAGCTAGGGAAGGAACCATTTATATCGACGGAATTGACGTCTCTAAAATCAAACTCCACGACCTCCGCAGTCGTCTCGCCATCATTCCCCAAGATCCAGTCCTCTTTTCTGGAACTGTCCGCTCCAATCTCGACCCCTTTGACGAATATACCGACGAAGAACTCAACGACGCACTAGAACGCGTCCACTTGACCACCTCGGACGACTCCGAAGCCATACGAAACGGGACCCACACCCCTCCCTCGTCAACATCCACATCTCCAACCCGAGGGGCCAAAAACAAAAACATTTTCTCCTCCCTCTCCTCCACCGTCTCGGAAGCAGGCCTCAACCTCTCCCAAGGCCAACGCCAACTCCTCTGTCTCGCACGCGCAATCGTCTCTCGCCCGAAAATCATGGTTCTAGACGAAGCCACGTCCGCGGTGGACATGTCAACCGATGCACTGATCCAAAGGTCTATCCGTGCTGAGTTTGGCGGTGAAGGTGGGAGCACGCTGCTTGTTATTGCGCATAGGCTTAGTACGATTGCCGATTTTGATCGAATTCTAGTCATGGATGCTGGGAGGGCGGTAGAGTTTGGTCCGCCAAGGGAGTTGATGGGGATTGAAGGAGGTGTTTTTAGGAGTTTAGTAGAGGAGAGTGGGGAGAGGAGGGTTTTGGAAGATATCATATTTGGTGGTGATGGTACATAGGGGTTGCTGTCCTGGATATAAACTGCCACTCTGTAATGAATTTATACCGCCCACTTGGCTTCTACTTTTCTTTTTTAGACTGAAGGCTCGGAGTATAAGAGGAACGCATCTCATAATTTCCAAAAACCTTTTTCTCCTTATAACAGGCTTGTGAAGAAGGGTTCTGGACATCGTTCGAGTATCTGCACTGTGGTTTTAACCCATCCCCGAGGCGTTTTCAACCACACTACGCCACCACATTTTCCTATAGCTTCAGTAATAAGAATATGGACTCTCGGATGGACAATGAATCGAATTCCGCAAAAAAAAAAAAAAAAACCAACGCATTTGCGCGAACCGGGAATCGAACCCGACTCTCCAGTTGACTAAGTCACGTGACTTATCGAGTCGCGACATGGGAAACTGAAATCATAACCACTAGACCATTCGCGCCGTTAACGTGTTGAAATCAGCACTTTCGGAGTACATATGTAGCTTAATTTCGATACGGGAGTTTCTCAATATTTCACCACGAAATTGAGAATTGGTTTCTTGAACTTCCTTTCTTCTTCGTCAAATTTTCCTTTCTCCCTGAAGAAGCATTGATAATTTAAGCTTAATAATAATCAACTTTCCAGTCACACGGGGAAAATTGCATTTGCTAGAATGTAAGGCTGATTTAATATGGCGATTTGTAGTAGTAATAGCGGTAAAAGGGGGACCGAACCGACTAGTAGATGGAGAATGATTATTGAAAGAGTTTGTAAGTTATTGATATTAGAGACGAATTTTTCTTTAGTAGTGCTAGGACGAAAGACAAACCCTTAGTTCAATCTAACCTTCTCCCCTTTCGATCTGCCTGCTTCTACTTATCGGCTGAAAGCTTTCGTCTGTAATTTCCCTTCTTCCCAGTGTTATCCATTCGGGTCACTCTATTCTCAAGATCCAATTCTACATCCTCCCACTCGTCGCCGCTGGCGAAGGCACTCGTGTCGTCACCTGCATCTGGGATTCAGGCTTGGCCTCGTCGCGTACGACGCGATCCTTACTGGCTTTGTTTTGCGTACAACGATATGGAACGCTCAGCATAATTTCAAAAAGCTGTCTTGAACATTATAAAGGCTCAATAATAGTCACACTATCATCTTTCGGTTTAACGCTGTTTAATCGATTTCGGGCTGAGGACGGAGCGAATGGCGGTCTTCATAGAAGAACATATACAGGGAGCCGTGAGCGAAAGCATGTCACTTGCCTTTGGAAGTATTCCCACTCCGCATTTGTGTTCCTCGTCGCTGTATGAAGCCGAGCACGCCTATGACCAGGTTGTGCCTGTCTAGTACTCTGTTTCGATGGGTCCCGATGGTTTACAAAAGTTGGCGAGATCGAATGCTCGGAGTATCGAAATTCTGGCTGTCAAAAGATACTTTTCATTCCTCAAAGTCGAGGATATATGGCCTGGATGCAAGGAAGCTTCTGACGGAGGGTCGAGAGGTTCGACGACGATGGTTGGGTCCATGACCGGGTTCTCTTTCGGGGCGTGATTGTCGAGGGATCCTATTGGCAACGCCATGGCGGCAGAAGGACTGTGGGTATATTTCTGTCTGTTGTCGATCGGGGTTGGATATCGTTTGATGCTTAGAATCTAGCGCATGACGCAGATACAAAATCTTCAGATGGGAGAGGTTCGTGACGGATAAGGAATGAGCACATTGCGCATCTAGATTTGATGTTGAATTGAATCCAACGGGCTTAAATATGGTTAGAACCGAAGATTGTAGATTATGTGAACAGTGTTCTGCGCCGGCATAAGATTGGGGCCCAAGGTGACGGATACCGAATGAGAATGAGACGGCGAGGGAAACGAAAGTAGATGCTGTTGGTGAAGAGGAAGAGAAATCCAGCGAAGTTTGAAAAAAAGGCTTGACTGATTCGCTGAGTTCTGAGAGTGACCCTACCTTCGCCTCACTCGAACGACGAGACCGGCATCACACTTGAGGAGATACCAAGGATGATAAACTTACGTGACGTAACTATATTCGTAGTAACGCCCACTCCTGTCTGACAGAAGAAAAAGGCCGCAAGCACGGCCGGAAGAGGGAAACTGGCAACTCGAAAAACCGAGGAGCGATGGGAAGAATAAATAAAAAAATCAACGGAAATCTGCAGAAGAGCAAGGAGAGAGGGGTGGATGAAGTGAGAACGAAACCCCAATAAGCGCAGGATAGCAGAAGTATTGGAACCTGTTAAATTCAAGAAATGTAACTCAACGTATTAGATTCGAGGGGTTGAATCAGAAGACGCGAGTTGGGAAGTTGATTTTGAAGTAAGAACCAAGTTTCCATGGGGGGAGTGGCCCCGACTTATTGAGAATTATTCCGTCTCTCCTGCTCTGTATTCAGGTGGGAATACCAGTAGTTAATAGAATTAACGTATAGACGAAAAGGACCTCTGTAGTAAAAATAAGGCGTCAGCGAGAAGGCACTTTTTTCGCTAAATCGTAGTGTCGAGCTCACCGCGGCTGAAGAGAGTTAACTTCCTGAAGCGGACTCGCTTCACCCTACTGAAAGCTCTCAATTCTAAACACTTTGACTCGACCAAGCGCCCAAAGAGTAACCTGGGGCTCCAAAAAACGAGAATCCATCGTGCTAACCCTCGAGCAGGGCTTCCTTTGTCTTATTGCCATTGAGCTGATCCATGACCAAGCTCAGATATAAGGGGCTATTCCTACAAGAAGACATACGGGGGCCCTATATAGCCCAATCAAATACAGCTAATAACAGTGGCCAGAGTTCAAATCAAGGATCTGATAACATCTTCAAAAAGGGGTCGAAATTCAATATAGACAGGTTCTCTAATAAGCCGAAGAGAATGGACAAAGATGAAGACTTTTTCGACACGAAAAAGCACGCATGACAAACGACGAGAATATTTATTGGACGCTCTACCACTGAGCTAAAAAGGTGAACACCTTAATAGGTGTTAGGTGGTAAGGTTCTTACATGTAATCCAACAATATTCGAGATAGACAACTATCCGACGACGCGAAAACGCTTTAAAAAGCGCCGTCAATTATCGCACACATCATGAGGAACATTCTATACTTGAAATCAAAATATAAATACGAAGACGAGACAGTGACAACTTATATATTAGTAGCTTGCAGCTTGTTTTAATGAAGGATCGCGGAGGGCAAGAGGTTCGATTAGAAATATTTCTTCAGACAATATCACATGTGACCTCAAACCTCCAGCCAATGGGAGGCCTTAATTTAAGCTTAACAAGAACCGAGCCCTAGCGTAAACTCTATTCAAGCTTATTTCGACTGAGCTTCATGCCGAAGTTAAGATGAAGATTCTCACGAGGGAAAAGGGCTTGCTTTGCGGGGACGGCAATAAATTGACAATACTAGGGGGAGAGGAGTTTCGAGAAAGATTGTTACACATTGCTATGCTGTCTTTCTTTTCAGTTTACCTGCTCTGAGACATGGACCTCGGGTTCAAATTTCCCTATGCCCCGTCTCCCAACAGAACTCCTCGTCCGCGCACATCGCCAGGATCCTCTTCTCCCACTTCTCTTGCGCGAGTGTCGAGATCTACCCTCCGCACGGAATGAACTTCGTTGGCTCCGAAACCATGCTGTGTCGGAAGCTTCAGGCGTCAAATTTAGGCAGAGAAGGCAGCACATAAACAACTCGCAAATGCCAGGATGGAGGACGCGATTGAGGTCCATGTGCCAGGCTAGGGCTAAAGGCAAGCCGTTGCAATATATACTGGGAGACCAACCGTTTGGAGACTTGGAAATCTTGTGTCGGGAGGGGGTTTTGATTCCTAGGTTTGTAGTACCTAAATATTCTTGGAGGATACCTTCAGTTTGGCTAATTGTGCTTTCCCCTCTAGGTCTGAAACCGAAACGTACACCCTTCGCGCTGCTCGCTTGATTTTAAAACATTTTCGTCGCGAATCCGACTCGCAGTCCATAGTTACACTTCCTAAAGGACCGTTGCGGATTATCGACCTATGTACAGGGACAGGATGCATTCCTCTCTTACTCCATCAACTCCTTTCGCCGCACGTTCCGCAGCTAGAGATAGTTGGGGTTGATATTAGCAACAAAGCCTTATCACTTGCGAAAAGGAACTTGGAGCATAACGTAAAACTCGGTCTTTTATCCAAGCGTTCAAGATCTGAAGTTCGTTTTCTCAAGAGCAACGTTTTAGAAAGAAATACCCACCCAAACGGCTTAGAAAACATACTCCAGATCACAGGGGACAGCTGTAATCTCCATGACGCGAAGGACACTGGCTCGAAACCTACAACTAAGGGGGGTTCGTGGGATGTGCTCATCTCTAACCCTCCCTATATCTCTCCCACCCAATTTGGAAACGGTACTACGGCAAGAAGCGTTCGGGTTTACGAGCCCAAGCTCGCTCTTGTACCCCCTCCCGCCACCAATGAAAGGAGCCATACGGAGGAAGCAATGACGGGGGTACCTATGGCTAATGACGTAAATTCCAGAACCGGGTTTCACGCTCCAGCGGACACCTTCTATCCTCGGCTGATTGCTTTGTCTTCGCTTCTTAATGCTAAGTTAACCATCTTCGAATGTGGTGACCCGCCACAAGCACTTCGAGTTGCGGAATTAGCAGCAACCTACCGCCCAGCGTCAGGGAAGTCAGATTCTGTGACAGACTCCAAGGTCGAGGTTTGGCGCTGTGATGATGATATGGGACATGGAGACGATGGTGAATATAACAGCCCAAGCGGAAGTGAATATACCCAGCATGATGGAGGGGCAAGAGCTGTGGTTATAAAGAGGAGATCATCTTGGTTCTAAGCAACGTTTCATAATAGACGTACACCTGTATATTCCTGTACTTATATTTTTTGGTTGCTAGAAATATCGTGGGAGTTAGTGAAAATTGTGCGAGCTGAAGTCGAAGAGTGGTACCACTCTTCACTCCTCCAAGTCCTGAAGCAGGAACATTGGCAACAACGGGATAGATGTGCGAGACGAGGAGCATGGAAACAAAGTATAGGACGCTGCTATCAATGGGACCAACTTTTCAACCGCGATCATATGAATTGTCCCTAATACACATATTTCCTTCCTTCTACAGCTCTTCTCCTCCACTGACCATAGGACGCAACTTGAAGTAAAATGGAGTAGAGATTGAAGTTTTTCTATTTGTGATTTCCAGCGACTTGTACATACAGATATGACCCCTTGGTAACACCCCAACACTCGTAGCAAATTCGGCTAAAGCTCACATTTAAAAAAAAAGGGGTTGAGTCTTGATAAAAAGTACACATACACATCGTTCTGACTGAGTATTTCGCCTCCCAGTTCATATGCATCTGCTCCTAGAGTAATGAGCTATGGATGCTCATCCCAGAGATACCCAGGAATCCAGATATATCCACGACCGACTTCTGCAAGGAAACATTATAGGGGAG